GCTTTCAACTCCAAACAAAAGATTTTATATTTGATGCTGATGGTAACAGGGAGAAGTTGGAGTTCACGGAATTGAGGAGGATGGGATGATATGATCAGACTTGTCTATGCTATAGGCAGATCACTTTGGTAGTTGAGTGGAACATGAACTGGAGTTGGGGAGACTTGAGGCAGCAGATCAATCAGAAGGCTATTTCAATAGTTCGGGTGAGAGGTGATGAGGGCCAATACCAGGGTGATGGAAGCAGTGGTGGATGAGAGAAGGGGTTAAATAGAAGAGACATTGCAAAGATAAAAAATGACAGAACCTGGCAACAGATTGGAGCATGAGAAATCAAGAATGGCATCCAGATTGGGAGTCTGGGTAACTAGGAGGATGCTACTACTCTCTATAGTGATAGGAATATTCAGAAGAAGGAAAGGTTTAGGATGAAAGATAAGTATTTCAGTTTTAGATGTGGTGAATTTGAGATACTTGCGGGACATTCAATTTGACATATTCAATAAGTAGCTAGTGATGCAAGTATAGAGCTCAGGGGAGAGGTTGGGGTTTGATGTATAGGTCTAGGAATCATTTGCATAGAGACGAGAACTGACACCATGGGAGCTGATGGATCACCAGGATAAGGGGGCCCAGGACAGAGCCCTGGAGGATACCCATGGTTAACGGGTGGGACGTATATGAAGATACAGTAAAAAGACTGAGAAGGAGTGGCCAAACAGGTATGAGGGATTCAGGAGACACAGGGTCTAACCTAGAGAGAAGAGAATGTCCAGGAGAAGAGGGTGCTCAATAGTGGTACAGGATGCAGAAAAATAAAAAAAAAGGCTTAGATTAGATTTGGCAACTGAGAGATCAATGGTGACTTTAGAGAGAGCAGTTTCGGTCAAATGATGAGAGTGGAAGCCAGACTGTAGCAGAGGGCTTAAAATTAAGTGAGAGGAGAGGTCATGCCATTGGTTATTGATGACTTTCTCAACCACTCTATGATGTCACTAACAATTGGTCACATGCTTTAGGACTTATGTAACTAACATGAGAACATTCCAACTAATCAAAAAAAATAAACAAACTTTTTAATACCTAAATTAATTAGGAATTAATAATTTAAGGAAATTTATGGTAGGCACCCATTATATTTATTTGTAAATAATAACAACAGACAACCTTCAAGAGGTGGGGTGTCATCATGATTACAGGGCTCCCCTTTGGAGTCAGGAAGACCAGGGACAAATCTTGCCTCTGATTATTTAACAGCTATATGACCTTGGGCAAGTCATTTAATCTCACAGGGACTCAGGTAACTCTCTAAGACTATAAATCAAAGAGAAGGTGCTGATCTGCATTGGTAGAAGTGACTTATGCAGATGAATTCACAGGTCTGGTAAAAAAAAACCCAACAACAACAATAACAACAAAAAACCCACCGCCTTTAAGTTTCTCTTCTTTTGATTTAAACTCAATTCGTTTAGTCATTCTGTCTAGGGCCTGTTTTCACTCTAGAAATACATACACATCACACAAAATTACCTATTAACATTGGCATTCTGCTCTTTTGTTTTTGGATCTACCTATCTATTCAGGGATTCTGGGCTTTGGCTGGGTAGAATGAAAATTAATTTACTAGAGATATATTGAGTTTTTTTTTCTTCAAAGCCCTCAGACTTAAAGAATAGATGCTTTAATAATTTAACTCAGCAGAACCACATAAAGTATTTAAACATTTCTAAACCAAAAACTCAATATGAGGATGAGATATCAATTTTAATAATACTGAACGATTGTTGGCAGGTTTGATAACAATAGAAATTTAAATAGCAATAGAAATGTTGCTGATCACATTTTTGCAACCAAGAATTGCATGAGAGAAACACTGTAAAGGATTTTTTAGAGACCTTTTGTTGTTGTTGTTCAGTTGTGTCTGACTTTTTGGGATCCCAGTTGAGGTTTTCTTGGCAAAGGTAATGGAGTAGTTTGCCATTTCCTTCTCCAGCTCATTTTACAGATGAGGAAACTGAGGCAAACAGGGTTAAGTATCTTGCCCAGGATCTGACAGCTAGTAAGTATCCAAAACCAGATTTGAACTCAGGAAGATGAGTCTTCCTGACTTTAGTGCTATCACTCTAGCTGCCCTTTAGAAAAGTATAGGTCCTTAGAGACAGAAGGGGAATTTCCTGACTAAGGAGAAAAGTGGCTTATGACCTTGTAGCACTCTCAGACTTCCCTGCTCTCCTAGAAGGCAGTGAGGATGTTGAGAAAAACTTCTTTTTTCATCTGGTCAGGAAGGTGGCCTCTTTTCCCCTTGAGGGAAGATCTTGTCAAAATGACACGAACATTCATTTCATCTGTCCTGGACAGATTATTAAAACCTACTTGTAGCCCTGACCTAGCCTAGGAGGCCAGACAGCAGTAGGAGACAAAACGCTTGGCAGTTGTGACACAGAGATTTCTGCTGTCTTGCTTAGAATGTCTGATTCACATCTGTGCTCTGGGCCTATTTTCTCTTTGACATCACATTCCATCTAAGACCCTGCGCCTATCTAGACTTGCCCTCACCCGCTGCATAACACAATCAAGACAGACAAGAGCTCTCAGAAACATCAAGAGGGGGAAGGGAGGGGGTATGGTATGTAAGTGGTCATTCGTGTTTTTCTCTAGAACTTTAAAAAAAACTTCATGCTTTAATTGAAAAGCTTGGAGCAATGAAGGCCTTACAGGCCCTTACAGGGTTTCTTTTGGAAATTTCAAATCCTTGTGAAAACCACAAACTTACACACACACACACACACACACACACACACACACACACACAAACTGATCCTTTTTTCTTTAAGGAATTGCTTATAATGAAAGGAGAAGAATGGAATTAAATTAATCGGATGGCACTATTCAACACATCCTTTAACCATGTCCATAGCAATGAAGGAAGAAAATGGGCATCACATGGGAAAGTGAGACCTCATGGACCTACCAGAAAGTATCCATTTCACAGAAAAGAAATGTTTAATTAAAAAAAAACAGAAACTAGGAATCCCAGAATAAATAATTTCTGCCCCTCTCACTGGTCTAAGAAAAGGATTGAGAGAGAGGAATCAGTCAATGGCATTTATTAAGTGCCACGTGCCATATAACATGCCAGGCAAGACCAAACCAAATTAATCCCTGTCTTCACAGAACTTACATTTTGTCAGGTGAGGCAATACATTCATGCACGAGTACGTACAAAATATATACAAGATCATTTTGAGAAGGAAGGCATTGGCAACAGGAAGGATTAGGAAAGGCTTCATGTTGGTGTTCAGTCATCTCTGCCTCTTTGTGACCCCATTTGAGGTTTTCTTAGCAAAGACACTGGAGAGCTTTGCCATTTCCTTTTCTAGATCATTTTACAGATGAGGAACCAAGGCAAACAGGGTTAAGTGACTTGCCCAGGGTCACACAGCTAGTAAGAGCGTGAAAGCCAGATATGAACTGATGAAGATGAGTCTTCCTGATTTCAAGCCCAGTGCTCTACCCATTGTGCCACCTTGCTTCTTTAAGGTTTCATGTAGGAGATGATACTTAAGCTAAATTTTGAAAAAAAAAAGGAGGTGGAGGTGAAGGAGAAATGAATTCTAGGCGGGAAACGCAGACTGTATAAGGGGCAGAGATGAGAGGTGGTATGAAGAACAGAAAGAAGGCCATTTTGGCTGGATCATTGAGTACCTTAAAAGTGCTAGTACATTAAAAAAAAACCTCATAATGTAATCTAGATCAAGGAGATTGATGAGATTGCTGTCACATTAGTCCAGAGGAGAGTTGATGAGAGTGTCAACTAGTGTGATGGCTGTGCAAGTGGAGAGAAAGGGATAGGTATGAGGCATGTTGTGGAGGTAGAATCAACAAAATTGAGTTCTACTGAGGAAAGAAAAGGGACAGTACATTTAACTAAGCAGTCTGTTCAACAATGGTGGTCCCTTTAGTGTCCACTCTGCTGCTGGTACGGCAGTGTGTGGTAGCCACGCTTGCCCTTCCATACTTTAGTTTGCCCATGTGGGGTGGAAGCAGGGGAGGCTTAAAAGATATCATAGCTCTGGGAAAGGTGTTAAGGCTTTCAGCTTGCTTTCAACAATTCATTCCTTCCCTTTTACTGGAGGATCAAGGAACTGACCCAAGAACTGTAGTGGATGGTGAGAGTGCATCTATTAGAGGAAATGAATGAAATGCAGCCAAGGGTCACAAGGACAGAAAACCAGAGGGACATCACAATTGCAGGATCATAGGATTTTAGAGCTGCAAGAGGCCTCAGAGACCATCTCATCCAGGGCTTTTTAACCTGGGTTCCATGGATCTCCAAGGAAGTTGTGGATAATTCCAAGAAATTTATGAACTTAGGAAAAAAGTTACATCTTTATTTTCACTTTTACAGACCTCTTATGGAAATGCAGCGTTTTCTTAAATTATGAATGCAGGCAACAAACCACAGCCAAAGGGACCTATGTCAAAAAAAGTTTATGATACATGAGTCAATCTAACCCTCTAATTTTACAGATAATGAAACTAAGACTCATATAGGTTAAGTGATTTGCCACAGGTCACAGAACTAGGTTTTATGTGTGTGTAGGAACTAAGAGAATTAGCCCCTAGAGAAATAAATAACTTTGCAATTAGATTAACACCACCACCACCCCCACCACCAACATATAGTGAGCCTATAAACCCTTTCCTTATTACCAAAGAAAAGGGAAAGGCTTCCACCCACTATCCCTTCCTACCCCATCCACCTCCAACTCCCATATTGTTTTCTACGATTTCTTCAAGGCTTCATTCCTTTTATTTTATTTGCATAAACATTTAAAAAAATGTTTATGTTATACATCCTGGGCCCTGAACTATGGATCCTGGGAACAGGAACCCTCCAAAGATGATTCTGAGTGCTATACTGCCCTAGGGTCAGCTCTAGGGTCTAGACCCACTATAGACAGCCCTCCCCTCAGGGTATATAGGAAACCTGGCATTACCTTTCCAGTCGCTGCATGGTCATAGCCAGTGTTTTATTCAATTCATCTATCATCCTGCAACCTGATGGCTGCATAGGTAGTGAGCTGGAGGTGGAGGGGAGGTGCTGGCTGTGGCTGCCATACTGGAGCTGGTGCTGCAACTGGGATGGCAGGACAGTATGGTGATGCTGAGCCATGGTCTGCTGGGCACTCTTCTGGGCCGCATAGGAAGCAAGGGAGAGTTCTGGCCCTCCTAAAGGCATGCAAATCATGACTTTCTTTGGAGGTAGCGGAGGAGACAGTTTCACTGGCAAACAAGGCAATTTCACAGGGGCACCAGGATCTACGACAGAAGGAAGAAGGGAAGGAGGGAAGCATTACTTTCAGATATCAAACGAGACCATTTGTGTACTACAACTCTGATATCTTACTGCTCAGAAGAAGACATTAATCAATAATGGGTAGTCCGGGACTTCCTAATGTGCACTGCTTGCATGTAGAATTCTTTAGATAAATGTCAGTACTACAAGATTCAGAGAGTCTCGGGTAGTGTGAACAGATGCCAATGAATGTGCATTTCTACCCAACTCCTTCTGATCTCCTCCCTTCAAAGCACACCTTGTGACAAAGGACTCTTTGGGACTTGTGCATTCCAAGTACAAAGAAACAAAATTGAGCTGCCTTTTCACCCATGTGGGCTTCAGCTGTCTATAGCTTCCTCGGCATTCACTATGCAAGGTCAAATGCTCCCTTAAATGGTAAACAGAATAAGAAGAGGAAACAAGATATTTTAAAAGAATGATCTGTTAGAACAGAAGAGAAGGCCAAAAAGAATTATAGATAAGCAGGACAGCTTTGAAAACTACAGGTTGCATTTATTATATACTTAAAAAGCAAGTTACATATAACAGAGATCTTTAGTTTCATGAACAATCTTATTTTTCTGCTTAGAATAAAAATAAAAACTTTTTTTTTTAACAAGAATGGTCTTCTCATGGAGTGACATTCTCCCATCAAACAGACCTGTTTCTAAGGTGCAGTAACTGATTGAATAAATTACCCATCTCTCTAAGGTGGAATTACTCTTTCAAGATATCTAGAGTCTTTCTAAGCATTATTGCTTATCTACTGAGAGTGATGGCAAGGCATTGCTTCCCAATACCAACGAAAGCACAAGTCCAGATATTCATCCATCTTTCCTACTCTGAAACTAAATCATCTCAAACAAACAAAAAGGACTCTTTTATTTATTTATTTTTTGAGGCAATCAGGGTTAAGTGACTTGCCCAGGGTCACACGACTAGTAAGCATCTGAGGCCAGATTTGAACTCAGGTCCTCCTGACTCCAGGGCTGGTGCTCTATCTACTGTGCCACCTAGCTCTCCCCACCCCACCCCCCACCAAAAAAACCAAACAAGAAAGAAAAATCTCTAGACTTTTTCTAGAACAGTGCTTCAGTATAGATCTAGTATCAGTCCTTGAAAAGCCAAGAGCAAAGCAGTATAAATCTAAATCTCTTCCTCATTTCATGCACCATCTTGGTCTTCCAGGGATCTTCCACAGTAGGAAGCAGTCAGGATTAGATCAGACCTCAGGGAGCTTCTCTCATCAGGTACACTCCTCTCATTGTCTCCCACTTCTCTGAGAACGAGGTGAAACATCACTGCTAGGATCCATGAATTCTGCTGATTGGATCCATACTTGGCTGAACCTATGGCCCAACACACATGCACCAGTCTTAAGATGCTGGAGGGCCAGAGAGGGAGACTTCAGAACCATAACTTGTAACTCCAGGCTTTATTGTCCCCAGGGAACACAAGGCTGCTGATTTTAACCTCCAATCATCTGCCTGATTTCTCTTCAGTGAGCAGAATTTGGCAAGTGGGATTTAAGCTTTGATCTTTCAATTTTCCAACTGACCTCTATCACTTTTGCTAGATAATCATCACCATTTGAGATGTTCCAGATAGGAGAAATCAGGCTGACTGTTGTAGGTCTCTAGTATAATCCATCTGGGGGGAGTCACAGTTCAAGTACTGATCATTAAACTGAGATGTTGAAGCTACTCAACTGAGCTGAAATTATTCAACTGAGAGGTTAGGCAGCTACATGGCATAATGGATAGCATGAAGGACTTGCAGTCAGGAAGACCTAAGTTCAAATTCTGTTTAGACTCTAAGAGCTTCTAGGCAATTCTCTAAGGCTCAGAATTGGAGAGCAGTTGTCATCTGCATTGGGAGAGGGGGCTTCCTCATCCAAGAGCACCTACACTGAAGGTACCACAGGCACAGACCAAAAACAAAACAAAACATTGAAATGCTGTTTATGACAGAGTCTCACTGCCTGTTTCCAGGCTTACGCTCAGTAGTAACTGAATCAGAACGATCAGCTCCTTCAAAGCTTGGTGATTTCTGCCCAAACTCAGCACCTGCACTGTGGTGAGTCAACAGCCCACAGGTGGAATGAGATGTGCCTCCTGCTGGCAGCACCTGCCTGCCTTTGCCTCTCCTAGCGCAGCTGGTACTTCTGACTTGGCCAGTCGTAGCCCTGAAAATCCAGCCAGCAGAAGGCCCAGCTAGGAGTGCTCAGGAATTGTTTTCTTGAATGCAGTCAGTAGTGATTAGAAATTAGGTTAAGCTCACCACAAGGGGCTGCCCCTCCACACACAAATACTCCCAACCACACGCACGCTCACACAGGCAATCTCATACATACACAAGCTCATGATGCAGCCATGTAGACTCATACGGGCAATCATTTACATACACATGCATTCATGCACACAAACATGATGTACTCATATACACCTAACACACACACTCATAACATTTCTACCCCGCTAATGTACAGCTATATCCAACACTAGTTTCTGGGTGGAGTTTTGCTCAACTCAGCAAAGTTCTCTTTGTATCATCATTGACTAATGGAGCTTAAATGAACTGTCAAAATATATGCAAGAAGTCACCACCAGGACTGAATTAGAAAGAGGTTTTTGCTTTTTTTTCCTAGTAGACGGGTAGTGGGGTGTCTTGATGTGTGATTTTATTGGTATAGAGAACTCTTGGTAAGGGAATTCTCTCTACCAATTCTCTCTGTAACTGTTCTGCTACTTACACCTTTAGAGAAACATCTGGGGACACGAGTGGGTTAAGTGACTTGCTCAGGTCATACAGCCAGCATGGATCATAGGCAAGACTTGAACCCAGGGCTGCCTGACACTGAGGTCGATTCTCTATCCACTAAACAACATTTCCTCTTTAGGTGGACATACTCTTATTTACAACCTTTGGGAACCCAGAGTCACCCCCAGACCGTGAAAAGTGTGTTGGGCAGATCTTCTAGGGATGGTTATAGGAGGATATGGACAACAATCCAACAGGATGGGAATTTGTGTATGGGTGGTAATGTGCACCGCCGAGAGGAGTATCCACATTGAAGAGGTCCTAGATCCACTGAAGTAATGACATACTCAGGTACCATTTTCCAGGTTCTATACTATGATAGAAAACTATGGACACTCTTCCTGTCTTCCATCTTGATTTCCACCTTTTGGATTTTCCATTATTTCATGACAGAAGCCAAGCAGGGACAGTGAGAAGAACACAAACTCAAGCTAGGTTATTTTGCTGCTCGGTTTGGTTGGCTTGATGTCCCCTTTAGGCACAGTCTTTTGGGAACAGAAACTGAGATTAAAGTTAAGTTCTGCTCAGATAGCTTGTACAGGAAAAAAGCTGACTTCACAGTTCTTATCACTACTTGGTCTGTACTGATACATTCTGTAATCAGGAACAGCAACTTCTCTACTAGCCTTAAACGCCATGTACAATGACCGCATAAGGGAAAGGGATCTAAGTCAAGCATCAATTGGTTAGTCAATCAACAGCATTTATTAAGTATTTACCATGTGCCAGGCATGGTGCTAACTTCTGGACATATAAAGAAAGGCAAAAAGATGGCCATTGCCCTCAAGGAGCTTACAATTCAATGGGGGTCAAAACATGTAAATAACCAAATATATAAAAGATACATCAAGTGTTCCAAAAGTCTTAGTGAAGTTTTATAAATTTAACAGCTTAAAACTGATTGTTCAATCATGTCTGATTCTGTGTGACTCCATATGGGGTTTTCTTGGCAAAGGTTCTGGAGTGGTTTGCCATGTCTTTCTCCAGTGGATTAATACAAACAGAGGTTAAGTGATTTGCCCAGGGTCACACAGCTAGTGAGTATCTGAGATCGGATTTTGAAGTCAGGAATTCTTGATTCCAGGTTCAGCTAATTATCAAGTGAACCAAGTTGTGAGGTCTAAATGAGCTACATCCCTGAGTACCAAAAGTATATGTTGATGTGATGTGACTGTTGATCTTTAAAGAACCCCAGAAAGGGAAAAGTGGCATATGAATGGGAGATAGGCAAGTATTTTCAAAACGTGAAAGAAGGTGGATTCTTTACACTGGCAAGACTGATTCTGATTCCTGATAAAATGTTAGGATATATTTTAAAATGTGTTTTTTGTGAATGGGGTTATGAAGAACATGTCTTGACAGAATAATCTCATTTCCCTTTTTGGCAAGTTTACTATACCGGACTGTAAGAGAAAGTCATAGGCACAGTACCCTTGGTTTGAGCGAATCATTTGTTAAAGTCTCTCACTATATTCCTACATAAAAGATAGATATGGCCTTAATGATAGTATACTTAGCTAGGTTACAAACTAGCTAAATCACTAAACCCAGATAGTTATAATTAATGGGTTGACATCAATATGTTATATTAAAAGCCTTGTGAGAGTTGTAGGATTGGATCTTACCTCAACCTTCTCTTCCTCAAGCACCTAGTGTAAGGTTCTATATATAATATGGGCTTAATAAATATTTGTGGAGGAAATGAATTTGTTAAATCAGGAAATCCCTGGTGAAACATCATGGAGTTCTATCCCTGGCTCTATTGAATCCAGTATTTGTTTCAGTGCTTGGATGAAAGCATGGATTATATGCTTATCAGATTTCTAGATGACACATAGCTGGGAGGGATAGCTAACAGCAGAAAAGGATCAGGATCCAAAAAATTCTTGAAAGACTTCAACAATAGGATAAAGGTAAGAAGAGGAAGTTAAATGTGGACAAATGTAAGGTCCTATACTTGGGTTCAAAAGATCAACTCCCCAAGTACAGGATGGGGAAGTTGTGACTCAGTAATAATTTATGTGAGAAAGGTCTAGTGGATATATTTTAGACTGCAAATTCAATATGAGTCAAAAGTGTGTTGAAGTAGTCAAGGAATTTAATATTATAGAATTGTGATGGAAACACAGATCCAGAATAAAGGAGGTTAGTGTCCTATTGT